GGGGGGGGGGGGGCTCGGCAAAGAAAGTGGTGTTACTGTGATTAATTACTGAAACCATAAACGACGACCTAATTAACTAGCAGAAATAAAAACAATGATAATAGTCAACTCTTACGAGCTGACATGTTATATGGGTTATTAAGTCAGCTAATCCAACAGCTCCGCTATTTCCCGTTTTACGGGCCTTGAACTCTAAACATTGAGAGTAACCTCATTCAAGGTGCCACAGCCAGAAAGTGGCAGAGCCGGGCAGTCTGTCTGCAGGGCCCATGATATCACATTATAAACTTCTTTTAAATAAACATTCCAATTACATGTATTATTTAAATCTATCAGATTAACCATCCAAACCCAGGGCCAAGCAATGGCACTGCAGTAGCTCATTAGCATGGTTCGTCAGTGTTAATTGCACTCAAACATTTTATGCCCAGAAAAGTACTATTTAAACTCAGTACAGTTGGTGGAAAGGTTGCCTTCCTAATATATCTATTTATGAGTTCAAAGCCAAACTCGGTGTAACTGCCTAGGACTGGTACAAGACTGATCTGGGGCCTGCCAACAACACAGGCAAAAAGAGAAAGGTTCAGGCCTCTTAATGTAAAAACCAATATCCACCAGGCTCCCTGACTGCCAGTGCAAATGTGAGGACAAGTGTGAGATAAAAATTAATTCTGCCTTCAGAGCTATTTAAAATCTGACTGACAATATCACGCACCGAGGAGGACAACGCTGCAATTCCTCTGCTAAACCTCTTCACCTCCCTCTCTAATATTTTGCAAAGAATGTTTTCTTTCAAAAAAAATTCTAAGGCCATGGGAACAATTCCCTCAACCCAAGAAGACTCAGAATCCTCCACAGTTTTCTTGCCATTTATTTCTTCAGTGTAAAAGCAAAATGCACAAATGTGTATCCATTGGTGCCTAACACAGCATCTTATAACTAGTGTATTCTCCACAAACACTTGGAGATAGGAAATGAATTTCCTGCACCTCAGCTTTTAAACTGAACAGCTAGTGTCAAGCGTCTACCCCCAGCAGGGGATGTAAAGTATGTGCAGTCCTTACCCTCGAAAACTAAACTCTGTTGCAGGGATGAGATTTTCACACATCAAATCTGAGGACAGTCAGAACGAAATTAAACAACCTGAACTCTAAAGGGAGCAGATGCATAAAAGAATGAAACCTCGATGGAAGAGAATAGTCTGACAAGACGGTGATGACAAAAGCTGCCTCGCTTACACCGGCTATGCTCTCCGGTGGGGAACCGATGGTAATCATTAACAGAGGGCAATGGAATTTCTGAAGTCTGTAAAACTTTCTAAACCCGAAACGTTTTAAGAAACTTAATCCTACCTTAATTGTTTGTGAGACTAGCAAAGGCCTCGTTTTCATCGTACTAAATGCCACTGCCTCGGCTGATGTACACTGCAGGGTCAAGGCAACTCTCAAAAACGAGTCTCGATGTTGGACAGCAAGACTGACTGAAATCATTTCAGTCTCTTCTTTCTCGACTACATCATAAAGAATTTCCAACATTTATGAACTATGTGTTCATGCCATTTGTCTTCCTGTATTTAGTCAATAATCACCAAGTCAGAAACTGTAATCATATAACCTAATACAAAATTTAAAAGTAAGCAATCTATCTGACATCTAATAATTTAGATAAGAATAATATTTAATCTGCCTCGCATAGTTATTAAACTAACCAATCTGTTCCTTTCTAGTCACATAGAAATGGCCAAATTTTTTTTGAAATTTGGGGTATTCCCCAAGAACAAAAAGGATATGAGTAAAAACAGCTTCAGTGATCCAGGCCCTTTCTGCACACAGCTGCCCGCGATGATAGTCTACCTCAGTGATTCCTATTCTTAAAAATGTTTGAAAATTCCAAAGAACTTTAGTTTACGCGGGTTATATCTATGAATATTTACCATATTAGAAATAAAACTGGGAATTTTTCAAATATTTTTATTTAATTATTTTAAGATATCATTATATATTAAAATAAATATTTACTGAAAATATTTATTCCCAAAACAAAGAAAATAGTAAGAAGAGAAGCATTGTTCTACGTTTAAAAAATGTTTTTGTTTTCCTTAAGCAAAGAAAGCTTGGTTCTATTCTATATTTGCTTAAGCATTCAAGTTTGGAATATTGTTTCGCTTGAAGTAAATTTAAAAAATCTAGTCTCACACAGATATGTAACTGGAAAAGGGAGGAGTACTTTAATAGTCCTTCCATATAATCGTGGCTACTCTTCTTTGATACTACTCTAGATCTCAACAAATGATAAAGTTTTAAAAAATAGTTTCAATGTGCAATCTGAAACCATTTCAGTGAATTTTTCACACTGTCATGTTAAAATCCATTAGTCTGTCTTACACAGTGAATGGTTCTTTCTCCTATACATGATTTTCTAACATCATAAGTTGGTCATCTGGAATATACTGATTCACTGTTTTATACAGTTCTTTCAAATGTAGACATAGTTCATTATACAGTATAAAAATCACATTAGTTAACATTGCCAATTTTATCAGAAAAGTCTTTAAATACTGGGGAGGTGTCAAGCTCGCAGTACTGAATATAAGTTTCCAAAAATCTGTTTGTCACTAGATCCACTGCCAATTTTGTCATTGACAATGAATACTATCAGTTGTTTGTCTTAAAGAAACAGGCTCACTTCGTTCACTTTTGAGAACTATAGTTTGTCATTCTTTCAAGTAAAAATGTTGATCCATGAAAGAAAAAAAAAACTAATTCAGCACACGACTCAGTCCCACAAGTATTTTTCCATACAACCATTGTGTTTCAGTATGCAGCACTTGATGTTCAGCATTTAAACAAAAACTGCCAAGTACACAAAGACGTCAGATCAAAAGGGGAAGTTAATAATATAATATTAAAATTATAAGACATGAATTCTAAAATAGCTAATTAATATGACTCAAATAATACATCACAAAAAATGGAGAATTTCAGCAGAACTAAACTCTATAAAAATAGATATTCCATACCTCTTTTGAGAACTGAAATATTTAGGGCTTTATTAGCAGATTAGACCCAATTCAAAAAAGGATTAGTGAACTATAAAATAGAGAGTAGAATATACTCCAACTGAAGCAAGAAAGGAAATAAAAAAGGGTGGCAATGCAGTAAAGAGCATAAGAGATACATGTGGAAATGTTCAAGCACGGGTAATATTTGAAGGGATAGCAGCTGAGAATTTCCCAACACTAACAGGAATTTCTACAAACTTCAAACAAAATAAATACAAATACAAACAATACCAAAGCCTAGTGAAATTACTAAAAGACAAAGACCAAAAAAATCATAAAAGCAACCAAATGAGAGAAAAAATACCATATTGTCCTCAAAGGAACAACAATCAGATTGACATCTGGTTTTTCAACAGTTTTCAGGAATGGAGATCAGAAAAGAGTGGTATGAGATCTTTAAAATGCTGAAAGGGAAAAATTACAATCCTATAATTCTCTACCCAGCAAAAATATGGGAATATGAAATAATAATACAATAATGCTTGATTAATACAAAATAGGCAACAAAAAAAGAACATATAACTGGCAGGACAAGTAGAAAACAAAATAGTAAGAGAATAAATTTAAAGCCAAATATATCAGCAACTATATTAAATGTAAATGGACTAAACCCTCCAATTCAAAGACAGTTTTAAAATATATATATGTATACATGAGTGTGTATGTGTATAGATGCATATGTATAAATGATAGGCAGTTCTCAAGGGACACAAAATTCAGAATAAATAAAAGAGGAAGTGCAAAAGAAGAAAGATAACTGCTCCCCAAGGAGACAGTGGGGAAGATAGGGAAGACTTACTCCAAGGATGAGGTTGGCGTTTGACAACGATAATCAATCATACCCCTCTCCCTCCAAGTACAGAAATAAAAAAGAAAGAAATACAGGAGTCAGAAATATGGGGACCAAAATACGAACTTTTTAATGGATGGAGCTGCACTTAAAAATGCTGCTTGTCCTGAAGTCACAATTGGGCTTCTAATTTTCCCAACCCTGTCCTCCTCTCGGGAACGGAGTGAAGGTTCCCTCATGAAATCACGGGGCCTGGGCAGCAGGTTAGCCCTTGCAGTTGACACGGCTTTCGAGCTAAACAATGAATTAAGGCTGCACATATAAATACTGGAGGAACAGGGACTGAGGAACATTTGGAAGCAAGAATTTTTCCCTGTCAGTGTTTTTAGTGATCTCCTAGGCAACAGAAGAAAGGCTTTAACAGTACTAAGCATAAAGTAAATGAAACGACTAAACTCTAAGTTGGCTGAAAGATGCCATCTCCTAACTCAGGCCCTTTACACATGCTGTTCCTATGCTCTCCTACCCACCCCTCAGCCTCACTCCACCCCCTCATATAGTTAAAGGTTACTCATCCTTTAGATCTCAAGTTCTCAGAGAGTTTTTTCCTCTGATCCCACAGACAAATTTAAGTTCCCCTGCCATATGTATATCCTCGTGAGATCTAGAACAATGTGTAATCACATATTTGTGATTATCTGGTTAAGGTTTGACTCTTCCAATAAACTATGAATTTCATGAGAGCAGGAGCCAGATTGGTTTTATTTTCCCTTATAGTCCAGGCACCAGTCACAGTTGTTAAATATTTGTTGAATACGGGTCTCAGGTCATTGATAAGCTGCATAAAGCTGCTTGAAGTCACGGATAAGGAAAGAATTCTCTTAAAACAAGGAAGAGCTGACTGATGCCTTTGTGAGAACTGGGAGTACTGGAGAGCTTGAAAGTGAAAATCAAGTAAGACCGCCAGTCTTTGAGCAGGAATTATTTGTCCATTCTTTCCAACACAATCAACCACAAACAAGTACACCTACTGACTGACTAAGAGAGTTATGCAAGAGAGTATAATTCTGAGAACTAGACCTCAGTAGGTCTCTTTAGCCAACTGCACTCAGCCGGAGAACAGGCTGGGCCAGCCGAGGGGAAATAGATGGCCAGAAGACTCTTTCTACTCTCATGGCCTCAGCACAGCTAATGCCTCTTCCAACTAAATATTTTGCTGGGTAACAGTCAGGGGTATGACGGTAATTACCCTGGTGGTTAATGACCTTATCTCAAGTTTGAAGGAGGGAAAAGTAGGGTAACTTGATTTCAAATAAATACAGGGCAACGTGGTGGCAACCACCACTGCTCAACACCACTGCACTGAGTGGCTCCTCCGAAAAACTGTCCACCGGAGCTGCCAAAAAGATAAGCCAAATATTGGGAAAGAATCATGTGCCTGAATCGTACAGATTATTTATGAAAGCAAGTAAGGTAAGCAAATGAAGTCAATGGTAGAAAAACAGTGTGCAACTCACTTTCTCGTTGCTCTGGGCAAATCTGTTGCTTAAACAATAACACCAGGATCTAATCAGTACGCCTCTCAGCTGCCAAAATTATACAAGCAACTCACCTATTTAAAATGTCACATTTCCCATCTGACATAAATATTTGCCTTCTGCTCACATTCCTGACGAGTAATACAAATTAGGCCCAAACTAAAACTCACGTTGGCACAAACTTTTTTTTTTCTTCCTTTTAAGTGACCCAGACTGTGCATTATGAAAATTGTGAAGCCCTGGTGGTCTTTTTGGTAACTGGAATAGGTCAATGAAGCCAGGATTGCTTCTCAGCTTAGGCTTTTCACATTCTTTTACATCTGGGAAGGTACTCACTAGCTCAGGCCTGTGTAGACTAGACTTGGTTCAGGCCTCAGTAACCTTTGTACACAAATGCAAGACTGCCTGATATCTGATTTCTGGAAAAAATCATACTAGTGAGACTTTTTATGCAATTTTTTAAACTAAAGAAATAGATCTGATTTAAAAAAAAAAAAAACTAAAAAAAAAAAAAAA